GTAAGGTGACATGCTATGCATCTAGTTAGCCGAAGGTGCATGAGAAGAACTATCCTGTCCACGACCTCGAGTTAGCAGCTTTTTTTCATGCCTTGAAGATTTGGTGGCACTATTTGTACGGTGTCCCTTGTGAGGTCTACACTGACCACTGGAGTCTACAACATCTGTTCAAATCGAAGGACCTTAACTTGCAGGAACGAAGGTGTCTAGAGTTGCTTAAAGACTATAATATCACCATTCTATATTATCCCGGGAAGGCCAATGTGGTGGCCGATGCATTGAGTCGAAAAGTGGAAAGTTTGGGCATCTTAGCATATTTAGCGGTAGCCGAGAGGCCATTAGCCTTGGATTTTCAGGCCTTGGCTAACCAGTTTGTTAGATTGAATGTTTCTGAGCCGAGCCGACTTTTGGCTTGTGTGGTTTCTCACTCTTCTTTTTATGATCGTATCAAAGAGCGTCAATATGAAGACCCTCATCTTCTTGTCCTCAAGGACGCAGTTCAGCACGGCGATACAAAGGAGGTCACTATTGAAGATGACGGTGTATTACGCATGCAGGGCAGGCTATGTGTGCCCAATGTAGATTGCTTGCGTGAGTTGATTCTCTAGGAGGCTCACAGTTCACGGTACTCCATTCATCCAAGTGTCGCGAAGATGTATCAAGACTTGAGGAAACATTACTGGTGGAGGAGAATGAAGAAGGAGATAGTGGAATATGTAGCTCGGTGCCTAAACTGTCAGCAGGTGAAGTATGCGCATCAACGGCCAGGTGGATTGCTTCAGAGATTAGAGATCCCAAAATGGAAATGGGAGTGGATCACTATGGATTTTGTTGTTTCGCTCCCACGGACTCAGAGGAAGTTCGATGCAATTTGGGTGATTGTAGATAGATTGACCAAGTCAGCTCATTTCATTCTAGTGGTGACTACTTACTCTTCAGAGCAGATGGCTCAAGTTTATATTCGTGAGGTTGTCAGGCTTTATGGCGTGCCGGTATCCATCATCTCTGACTGGGATACGCAGTTTACATCGCGGTTCTAGAGAGCTGTAAAACATAAGTTAGGTACTCGAGTTCAGTTGAGCACAACATTTCACCTTCAGACGAACGGGCAGTCCGAGCGCACTATTCAGATACTGGAGGATATGCTTCATGCGTGTGTGATGGAGTTTGGAGGTTCTTGAGATTCGTTCATGCAACTTATGGAGTTTGCCTACAACAATAGTTATTAGTCGAGCATTCAGATAGCCCCAAATGAGGCTTTGTATGGTAGGTGGCGCCAGTCTCCGGTTGGTTGGTTTGAGCCGGGTGAGGCTAGGCTATTCTGTACAGACTTGGTTCAGGATGCTTTAGAAAAGCTTAAATTGATTCAAGATCGACTCCGTACATCCCAATCAAGATAGAAGAGTTATGCGGATCGGAAGATTCGTGATGTTGCACTCATGGTTGGGGAGCGGGTCTTGCTTCAGGTTTTGCCCATGAATGGTGCTATAAGGTTCGGGCAGAAGGGAAAACTGAGCCCTAGGTATACCGGAGCTTTTCAGATTTTTGAGAGGGTTAGAGAGGTGACCTACAGACTTGCACTACCACCTAGTCTGGCTGCAGTTCATCCAGTGTTCCGTGTTTCTATGCTCCGGAAGTATCACAGCGATCTGTCTCATGTGTTAGACTTTAGCTCAGTCCAGTTGGACAAGGATTTGTCTTATGTTGAGGAGCTGGTGGCCATTTTCGACAGGCAGGTTCAAAAGTGAGGTCGAAGAACATTTCTTCAGTTAAGGTTCAGTGGAGGGGTCAACCAGTCGAGGAGGCAACTTGGGAGACCGAGCATGATATGCGTAGCCGTTATCCTCATCTTTTCACCTCTTCGTGTATGTCTATGTACTTGATCGAGGATGAATATTTGTCTTAAGAGGGGGAGGATGTAACGACCCGGCCGGTCATTTCGAGTGAATTATCCCCGATCCCGTATTTATTGACTTCTTTGTGTTATAATGTGGTTAGGTGACTTGCCGGGATGTTTGGTTTTGGTTTCGGGTGAGTTTCGGAGAGAAATGGGACACATACTCCCTAAACTAGAAGTTTAAGTCGTAATATTTGACCGTAGTTTGACTTGTGAGAAAACGACTCCGAAATGGAGTTTTGGCAATTCGAATAGCTCTAAATGGTGATTTTGGTCTCAGGAGCGTGTCCGTACGTTGATTTGGAGGTCCATAGTTCGTTTCAACGTTAATTGGCGAAAGTTGGAAATTGGTGGAATGTTGGGAAGTTTGACCAGGACTGGACTTTTTTATATCATGGTCAGATTCCAATTCCAGAAGTTGGAATACGTCCCTAATGTCAATTATGACTTGTGTGCAAAATTTGGTATCAATCGGAGTTGTTTTGGTATGTACGGCGTTGGTTTCGAAATATGGGAGTTCATAGTTGATTAAGCCTGAATTTGGGTTATGATTCATTGAATTCATGTTGTTTGAGGCGGTTTTGGCCTCGTGTAGGTCCGTTAGGTTTTTTGGAACTAGTTGGTATACTCGGACAGGGTCCCGGGGGCCCCGGATGTGATTCGGATCGATATCGGATCATTATTGGAATTAGTGAATCATTGATGTTGGGCTGGTTCTGGTGTCTTCGCACCTGCGGAGGGGTTGGCCGCAAGAGCGGGCTCGCAAATGCGAGCCACTGGTCGCAGCAGCGGAGTTTTTCTAGTCCAGCTGGAATCCCAGGTGCGATCAATTGTCCGCTTCAGCGGACTCGCGGATGCGGGGCTACTTTCACAGGAGCGAACTTGGAGAGACAGCCTTTGGGTTGACCTCAGATGTGGTCTTTTGTCTGCAGAAGCGATCTCACAGATGCGAGCCCATATCCGCAGAAGCGAAAGCCCTGGACTTAAGTTGGGACCACTCGTGATGGTTTTTCGGCAGGTGCAGCATCGCAGAAGCGACCCATAGGCCACAGAAGCAGAAGTTGCTGGGAAAAAAAAGGGAATTCGAGGGTTTGATTTCATAATTCATTTTGGGACTTTGAGAGCTCGTCTTGAGGCAAAATTTTGAGGGATTATTAGAGGAATTGTTGGAGTAAAGATTCTTGACTCGTTTTTGATTAATTTTCACTAATCTATTTTTAATTATATCTTCTAATTTGTGTTTTGGGGTTTAAAATTGGGGAAAAAGTTATAAAATTTCTTAGACTAAGTTCTTGAGTTTTGAAAGGCGAAATGAGATCGGATTTGAATAATTCTTGTATGGTTGTACTCGATATCGAATGGGTGTGCAAATTTTATAATTTTTGTCAGGTTATGAGACGCAGGCCCGAGGTGAATTTTTGGAGCGATTTTTATAGTATGAAATTATTTTGTCTAGATTCGAGCCGTTCGGAGTTGGAAAATCGAGGGGAAGGCCTTCTAGTTGATTGATTTAGCGTGGTTTGAGGTAAGTGACTTGTCTAAAGTTTGCGAGTGTTTACATGGGCTAAATGTTGAGATTCCGGTTTTAGCTACGTAGTTCTTCTTCATGCCTCAATTGAGTTACCTTAGCATGTTATAGTCGCCAGGTTTAGCCTAATTTCACATGTCTACTTATTTATCTTGTATTTGCAACTTGTACTACATGTTTAGTTGATTACTTGCTTCCTTAATTTTGTATTCATTAGTTAACTATGGAGATTCTTTACCTGAAATTTGCTATCCCTGAAATATCTTATTGCTGAGTTTGGTGTTGAGTTGCAAAGGTCGTGGTTTCTATTGAGGCCAGGTGTAAGGTGTGAAGTGTCATTTTCTTTAGCTGTTATGTTTTCGCTTCCGTGTTATTGTTGAGGTGATTGTTTGGTTGTGTGCACGAGGTTTCTGCCGTGTCGTTGTGATTATCGATACGCATGCGGTGGTATAAGGTTTGGATGTTGAAACACATACGGTGAGATAAGGTGGGCTTGATACGCGTGGCTAGTAGTGGAACTATTAGAAGTCAAGCAGTGTGATAAGGTGGGCTAAAACGCGGGACGCTATTTCGGGAAAATAATTTTCAAACAAAATATTAAGGCTCCCGCGGTGATGTAAGGAAAGACTGTGAGTTATTTTTGATGATTTAGGACTACGAGGCGGTACCTCAGGAGTGCCCCTATTGATCTTCTCTATTTGTTGTACTATTTGGTTCTTGCTCCTTAACATGTAAAACTCTTGTTTTCCTTTCGTATTGTATTAGGTTCATTGATTTCGTGTTGATATCTTTCCGTAAATTCTTTATTGTTTCATTTCCTTGTAATTACCATTATATTATTATATCTTCTGCCTTGTTTTTATCTTCAGTAGGGTCTTGTCCTAAACTCGTCACTACTCTATCGAGGTTAGGCTTGGCACTTACTGGGTACCGTTGTGGTGTACTCATACTATGCTTCTGTACATATTTTGTGTAGATCTAGGTACATCCTATCAGCCTCGATATTAGTGCATTAAATTGCTTGCTATGAAGACTTCAAGGTACACCGGTCCCCATCTGCAGGTATCGGAGTCCTCTTCTATCCTGTTCTTTTCTTATTTCTTTACATCTTCATAGACTGTGATGTATAGGAGTGTTCAATATTGTATCTAGAGCTTGTGACTTGTATTTACACTAGGTTTTGGGAGATGTACATGTTGAGTTGCAGATTTTATTTTATATAGTTATTGATGTTTGAGCTTTTAAATTATTATTCCAGTTATTTCGTATGTTTGTTAGGCTTACATAATCTTAGTGTCTAGGTGCTGTCATGACATCCTACGAAGAGAAGTTTGGGTCGTGACAATCTAAGACCATCCTTATCAATAATTTTGTATGCGCCACATGAATATGCTTCTTTCATAATATATGTTCCACCCCATCTTGAAGTAAACTTGTCGCCTATGCGTTTGTTGAGGATTATGGTTCTTCAAACAGCTAGTACCAAGTCTCTCACTTAGAATGACCGTGGTCACGCTTTTTTGTTGAAGGCTCTAGCTACTCGGCTTGATAGCACTCCAATTTTTGTTGTGCTTCCTATCTTTTCTCACCCAATGTCTCTAACTCTACTTGGCAAAGTTGAGCATTATCTTTGGAAGTGAGTCCTTGTGAGATGTGTAATGATGGAGTTCGTTGCTCCAATGGAAGGAATACTTCTATGCCATATACAAAAGAGTATGGAGTTTCTTGTGTAGCAGTTCTAAAGGTTGTCCGGCATACCCGCAAAGCTTCACCAATTTTCTCATGCCAGTTTCTCTTGTTCTTTGCACTAACTTTCTTCGAAAGTTTAACAAACGTCTTGTTAAAATCTTCAACAAGGCCATTGGCATGTGTATTATACATTGAAGACTTATTTTGCTTGAAATCGAACTTCTCGCATAGACTCCTTACGAGCTTGTTGTCAAATGGCGTTCCATTATCAATGATTATTATCTTGGTATGTCGTACCTAAAAATTACATTTGAATTGATAAAATCAACAACAGTTTCCTTTTTCATATCTTTGAGTGGAACAGCTTAAGCCTATCTAGAGAAGTAGTCTGTAGCAGCCAATATGTGCTTCAGTCTGTTTGATGATTTTGAAAGTGGTCCAATAATGTCAAGTCCCCATGCATCAAAAGGTCATGAAGCTATAGTTGGATAAAGAGGCTCTGGAGTTTGGTGGATGTAGTTGCTATAAAATTGACACACTTGACATCTTTTGACATGCTCCATGCAGTCTTTCACCATTATTGGCCAGTAGTAGCCCATCCTCTTGATGTGACAATGGAGCTTAGGACCAGATTGATATGCTCCACATGAGCCCAAATGTGCTTTCTTCATCGCTTGGAAGGCTTCTTCATTGTTAAGTCAGCGCAGGTGTAGTCCTTCGAAAGAGCGGCAAAATAATGTCTCCTTATACAAGATGAATCATGGTGCCTTTCGTTTGATGTCTGTTCTTTGTTGCAGATCCACAGGTAACTTTTCATGTTCAAGGTACTCTATAATGGCTGCCTCTAATCTTCTTCTTCAATCACTTGTACAAGTGTATGATGGATTTCGTTGATTTGAAGATCAAGAATTCTAGGAATGACCCATCAGTGACACACATGAACGTTTGTTGACTCACTCTCTCCAAGTTCCCTCGTCGTGGCCAAGTTAGCCAAAGCGTCAGCCAAGCAATTTTCTTCTCTTAGGACGTGGTTTAAGAATACTTGGTCGAATCTTTCAAGTAAACAAGAAGCATATTGGTGGTATGGTAAAAGACCTTCATTTTATATATCGTAACTCCCCAAAAGTTGGCTAATAATCAGCTTAGAGTTGTTGTAGATATCCAGCTATAGAATCTTCATGTCTATTGCATTTTTTAGACCGATGATCAAAGCTTGGTACTCTGCAATATTATTGGAGCATGCCTCACCTAAAACAAATGAGAATGGAAAGACTTGTCTTTCTGGAGAGATCAACATAACACCTGCCCATGTACCGTTACGATGTGTAGATCCATCAAAGAACATTTTCCATGGTGGCAATTCATCAATGAACAAAACGTCTTCATCTGGAAACTCATCAAAAAGCTCTCATTTCGCCGTGGTGATCAGCTAAAAAACTGGTGAGTGATTGTCCTTTCACAACCTTTTGAAGTGTGTATGTGATCTCATATTGGTTAAACAATATGGAACATTTTGCTAGGCATCCAGAAAGAGCAGGCCGAGTCATCACGAAGTTCACGGGATCTGCTCGAGAGATGATTTTGGTGGTGTATGCTTCAAAATAATGCCTTAGTTTCTTTATCGCATAAAGTAATGCTAAGTATATTTATCCACAGGTGTGTAGTTCAATTCAGCTCCTATTAGAGTTTTACTGAGGCCATACAAGGTTTGTTCCTTTCCTTCCTTATTCTCTTAAGCAAGTATTGCCTTACGTAAATGTTCTTGTGCCACGATGTACAGTATCAATGGCTTCCCATGAATTGGCGCCCCTGACACAAGTGGATTTAGCAATTACCTGTTGATGCTTTCAAATTTTTTCTGACATGGCTGATCCCAATGAAAAGGGATATCCTTCCTCATTAGATAATTGAAGGGTTGACACCGTCTGGCTATATTAGAGATGAACCTCCGGATAAATGCTCATTTTCCTAGGAAACTATGGAGCTCTCTCAAGTTCTTTGGCTCAGGCATTTTATGAAATGCGTCAATCTTTGCGGGATCAAATTAATTCCACGGTGACGCACAGTGAATCCAAGAAACTTTCTTAAGGTAACTTCAAATGCGCATTTGACAGGATTCATCTTCAAGTCGATTTTGTTAACCTTTCAAAAACAATTCTGTGGTTTTCAAGGAGGTAACACCTATGCTTCATCTTCACCACCAAGTCATCGATATAACATTCAACCCTCTTATAAAGCATGTTGTCAAAGATGTTTTGCATTGCACATTGGTAGGTGGAACCAGTATTCTTCGAACCGAAGGGCATCACTTTGTAGCAATATATCCTTTTTGGAGTTTGGAAAGCAGTACACTCTTCATCTCATGAAGACATTCTGATTTAATTTTATCCGGAGGATCCATCAATAAATGACACAGCTTTATGCCTTGTTGTAGCATCAACCATGAGTTCAATAGCTGGTAGCAGAAAGTCATCTTTCAGACATGCCTTACTTAGGTCTCGAAAGTCAACACAAACACGTATTTGGACCTTATTCTTCTTGATGGGTACAATAATCGAGTTCCGTGATAGGTACTTCACCTCTCGAATAAATACCGCCTCGATGATCTTGTTGGCTTCGGCTTTAATTTATGGTACTAACACAGGACGAAATATGGGTTTTGACTGCTTCACAGGGCGTGCTCCACTTTTGATCCCCAAATGATGAACTTCTACTTTAGGACTAAGGCCATGCATTTCTTTATACGACTAAGAGAAGACATCTTTGTACTCGCTCAATAACTTGAAGCATTCTCCTCCTCTTGAGGCGTAAGAAGCGTACTAATGAAGGTTGGGCAGGGATCTTCCAAAGTGCCTAAATTGGGTTCCTTAAGCTCATCTATAGTTGATTTCCCGCCATCTCCTGGTAGAGGGGGAGCCTCTTGGACTTTATCATTAACTCCAAGACAAGACATGGGCTATCTTCCACTGTTATGTGACGAAATATTCCACAAAGTCTGACTTTTCTCTTTGACTCTCTTGGATGGTCGGCATGGATTCTTCCTCTTTCTCTGTTTCTTTATGAGGCTGGCAAGCATAAACGATGGTACTCTTTCTCACCTTCAGCAAACCATCTATGGATATTGACATTTTCTCTTCATATGTGATGGGAAAGTATAATAGATTTCTTTGTCAGCAACAACTTCACAATGACCTTCCTCCTCATGTTACGAAAATATCTTTCTAGATGGTGACTTCCTTGTGGTTCCCAGGCGACAAACTATAGAGGTTTTTGAGGTAGTGAAATTTCCTTTAGATGTTTGGAAGGTACACGTTTACTTTTGTGATTTAGCCTTTCAAACACCGAGACACGAGGTGTTGAGCATCCAACGCTATCAAACACTAAGCCCGTTGTTTTATTTGCTTGTCTTTAACTTTCTTCGTCTCCTTTATCGAGGTTTGTTGTGAAAAACTATCTTTTGCCTCTCTTAGATGAAATTTGAAGAGGCTCTACCAAACTGAATCCTAACCCAAACTTGGGTGTGGCGAGGTAGTGCCCTTGCTTCCTCAACCTCATTTGGGACTCAGTAAGACCATGTATCTTTTCATCAGTGACTTCATCTTTGAGTTCTCCTAGCCTTGATGGATTAGACAAGTTATAACCAGACTTTTCAAGTAGTGTGAAGACCTTTGGATCAAAGTGCCTTTTCGTTTTATTAATTTGGGGATTACCTTTAGTAGACTCACAAGTCACGGATAGGATTTGTGCAACTTGGACAGTCATATGTTCCTTCAAATCTTGGATAGCTCTGTGACCCATTTTCTTCTTTGGAGTACATTCCTCTAGTATAGGTTGCCCTTTCTTTCGACGATCACCCGGAACATAGCGGAAGACTGGATTCTCATTATCAGTTTTTGTCTGTATATCACCTTCGATAATGATAGCTTAATGGGGACTTCTTCAGTTCTCTTCTTAGACAGCTTGACAGTAGTTCGTTGAGCCTTATTTTCTTCTTTTGAATTGACATTAGCTTGGTCGATTGATGATGGTTTCTACACACTTGGTTTACAAGAATCTAAGTAGAATTTTGCGGTTATAAAGTATGACTCTATCTCAGTGAAGTGATTGATGTTTGCATCAATTTGACTATCTCTCGATCGTTTCTTTACTTCAAACACTGATGCAAAGTATATGATACCACTCCATTCTCATGAATCCAAGGACGTCCATGTAGCAAGTTAAGTGATGTTTTAGAATCTATGATGTGACTCGGGGTATTTGACTTCATCTCACCAATGGATAGTCCTACGTGAATCATACCTATGGCTCGTTGTCCTCCTTGGTTGAAACCTTAGATTGTTAGGTTACTTTTGGTTAGCTCATCGATAGAGATCCCAAGCTTTTTTAGCACCATATTTGGCATGATGTTGACAACTGAACCACTATCAACAAGTATACGATTGAGATGTTGTTCCTGAATAGCCCCTACAATAAACAAAAGTCTATTATGTGGCTTAGACCCCAGCAGGAAGTCATCATTTGCGAAGAAAATTGTTGCACAACATGTAATAAATTTTCTATTATCATGATGTTCTTGTGTTTTTGGTGGATGATACTCATCGTTGCTTTCCTTTTTTTCATCTGTGCTAGAAACTACATTTGTCGCACCAACGTGAGTTCCATGAAGGAATTTTTAAGGAACGAATCGATGCAAGGTAATGGACTTTCGAAACTTTTGTGATAAGGCACCATTAATATTCTCTCTAGTAGAATATTTGATATTTCGTGATGGTTGTAGGAATTTGTAGCCTCAAAATTGCTTGATGTTTGCTCCTCTTGAGAGCGATTGGAGTCCAACCCAAGTCGCCATTGTCTTTCGAGTGATTATCCAACTCTAGTGAACTTTCAAGAGTTGTCCTTGGAAGATCAATTTTAATAGACTTGAAACTTCCAAATTGTAAGAAGGCAGTGCTTGACATGTTCTACAACCTTGAACACTTCCTTTCCTTGGACACAACACTTGCATGGTTTGCTTCCACTGTTTCATCTATGTCTTTGGTGATTTTTCCTTAACTTAATCGTATCATGATATTTTCCTTCAAGAATGAAGTGTTTCTCTAGCCAATGACTCAATGAAACTTTCAGTATTTCGGATCGCCGACTTTGCTAGTTTCCTCAGGCCCCTTTGACTCAGGGAGATCTGATGGATATAAATTATTCATATAATTTCATGTGTAAAAAAATAAGATTTTAAATAAAATATGAATAATGATATCCTATCCTCGCATATTTTCTAACAAATCTTGTAGGAAGAAGAAATTATGGAATAGAAAGGAAAGAGGCTAAAAGACAAGAGAATAAAGCAAAGCCATAGTTGCACACATCATCTTCATATTCACAAATGTGAATACACATATGGGCTTATGGAAACAAACAACTAGAGATGAAAAGGAGCATAGTTGCATATGTAAAATCTATATACGCAAGGTCACATTCGCATACATGGAACCTACATTTGCAAGTCTAACTCATGAAGTCAAGAATGAAAGCAAAAGAGTCATAGATGCATGCGTGGAATCTACATATGCAAAGGTCACATTCGCATACATGGAACCTAATTTACAAGATTAACTCATGAAGTCAACAATTAAGCACAAGTGTCATAGTTGCATATATGGAATCTACGTTCACA